ATCACGAGCCAGTAAATTAATTTCACGACCCGCTAATGGGGTGGTGACCTGCACTTTGAGAAACAGTGATCCTGGAAATGCGGACATCAGCATATGCCTGGGGTGTGGGCTAGGCTAATCAATGCATCCATTTATAACATATCCTTAGGCAGGCCCTGTGAGGCCAGGCTGCTGGACCCCCAAGCTCAGGGCCTGGGGGAACACAGGGAAACACAAGTGGCAGGTGACACCATGCTGGAGTTGGGGTGTGCCAATGGGGCTTGGGTGCACGGTGGACACAGATGGGATGCAGGGTGGGGAGGGGCCTTGTCTGGAGGAGGGTCCGATCTGGAATGAGTAACACTGGGAAGGAATTATGAGCCATCCACAGCTACCTGGCCTCTTACAGGGAACGGGTGACAAGACTGTCATCTCAGAAAACCAACTTATCACGGTGACATAGGAAACCCGTGGTGCTAATTGACTCTCTAAGAGATCAGGATGACTTGACTCACATAGCGGGCATTGCACCTGGGGCCAGAGGTCCCAGCAGGAGTTGGCCTCACTTTTTCCCAGACCCGAGGATACTGAGGCAGCGTACAGAGCCTGGTGTAACCTAGCTGGGTCTCATAATCACTCGGGTAGATCCCCGACGTGGAGCTACCCCCTGGCTCCTGTGAGTGGACACCTTTCCCTGTTTGCATGGGGTGCTGACCAGCCTTACTCCTCTTAGATAATGGGGTTCTCTTGCCACAGCTGCTTAACACAGGTACCTGCCTCACCCCTGGTGACGCCAGCAGATGTCCTCAAGGCTGGGCTGAGGCCTTGAGGCTCCAAAGAATGTGGAGACCTTCTGCCTCCTGAGCTGAAGGACCCCTGGGGTCTCAGGCCTTGCCAGGACCAGCTCTGAAACAAGGCAGCCTAAGAGATGCAAATGACCACCTGGCCGTCCGAGGCAGTCAGCCTGTGAACTGCAGCTTCTAGGGCTGTGGCGGGCAAGCCTGTGAGGTCAGAGGGAACGCAAGCTGGTGCCAACACTGCAAAGATCCCTGAGCGTGCTCAGCAAATGAGGGTGTTGGGCAACTCGTCACCATCCCAGTGTTCCTGTGCACGGCCAACTCAGCCCCACACAATCCGGACCAGTTCATCGTGCCTAGACAGGCCCACCACACCTTGGCGCCCCTCTCCTGCCACACTTGGGGTCACGCTGGAGCTTGAGGCAGGGAGAGGGCTGGGTGGCCATTGCTCTGGTCTGGAGTAAAACGACTCAGCCCTGACAGACTCAGGGCGTAAAGGAAGAAGACGTGCCTACACCCTGGGGTAGACAAGAGACGGCAGGGAGAGTAGGCTAGGTCCCACTCCAGCGTACAGGGAAGGCATAAGGGTCGAGTTGTCCCTTGGTATCCATGGGGATTGGCTCCAGGATGCCCTGCAGAAACCGACCCCAGGATGTTCAAGTCCTTTCTACGAACCAGTAGTGTCCCACAGAACGTACAGTATACCACTCCTGGGTATACTGGGACTGTCTTTAATTAATCCCTAGGCAGCTTCAGGTGCCTGGCAGGGTGAAAATATGGGGTGAGCACATTGTATGAGAGCAGAGGGCTGCACATGCTCAGTACACATCCTTCTCCCCAACATCTTCCTGCTGTGATTGGCTGAATCTGAGGATGTGGAAGCTGACTGCATTGAGAAGCTGCTGCTCAGTCCTCTCGTGGTGGCCTGATGTGCTGGGACAGGGCCCCTCCTGTCCCTCTGCTGAGGGCGTATCCTGCACATTTCTTCAGTGCCTTATTTAGGGTTGCCAATTGAGACCACAATGATCTCATAGTGATCCTGTACCCAAAGGGAAGCAGCCCTCACTAAAACCTGTCTGGCTGAGAAACTGTATGTGTGTGTGTGTGTGTGTGTGAGAGAGACAGAGAGAGAGAGAAAGAGAGAGTCATCTCTCATTGTGGTACTCATTCTTATGGGACAAGATACTGTCAGAACCATTGTCTCCATATTCCAAGCAGTAGGATGGAGGTCGGTAGCAATTTTCCCTCCTTCAGTGTGGGCCAAAGCTGGTGACCCACTTCTAAGGAGTAGGATGCAGCAGTCCAGGGAGAGAGAGAGAGAGAGAGAGAGAGAGAGAAGGAAGGACAGATGGGGGAGAAAGAGAGAGAGACACAGAGACACAGAGACAGAGAGACACAGAGACAGAGACACAGGAGAGAGAAAGACAGAGAGACAGAGAGACAGAGACAGAGGGGTTATGTTGGGGTCAGGACAATGATTTGAAACTAGAATAGGGGGTGGTGGTTCATATACCACTGTGAACTTTGAAAATGCTTCTGAACTGCCAAGGCAGGGAATTTGTGTTGTGTGAATTCTGTAAGTGAACTGGTGACACTGGATGCCTAGGAATCGGGACTGGATTGTGCTCAAGACAATGAGCTTGGCCTGTCTTGGAGCTTGTGTGTCATGGGCTGGCTCTGCAGCCCCCCCACCCCACCCCCATGTGCTATCTTCTGTCTACTGTCAGCTCTGCAGCTCTGGCCAGGCATCCTGCTGACCCCTGACTTCCCACCCCTGAGAATTCAGAAGGTTTGAAACTCAAGGAGATTTATAGCGCTGGCTTCCACATCAGAGTGTGGCTGTGTGTCAGAATCCTATCTGGTCAAGAAGGACTGCCTTAAACGGTGATTGAGAGGCAAGGGGTCCTTGGACAACACAGATACACCTCTCCTCTCAACATAGGGCTGGAGGCCACTCACTGAGCACTGGCTCCCTTTAGGACAATGCAAAGGTAAGCCTGCCAGGGTCCAGGGAGCAGTGGAGAACCCACCTTGCTGAGTGGGACACAGACACCAGGACATATCCTGGAGCTTCAGGCTCTGAAGAAAGCGAGGGCTGGTTTCTGTGGAAGCCACAAGTGTCAGCTGCTCTGTGTCTGCTGAGTCCTGTGCAGGCCATAGCTGCTCCTTTGACACTGAGTTCCCAGGGGCCCAGAAACAGGTGTGAGGAGAGACTAGAGGAGCTGAGAAGCCCCCTTACCCATGGCTACTCAGGAGACCTGCCCCAATGCCACACAGTGGCCTCTAGGACCAGGCCTCGCCTCCCCAGCAGGACCCCATGCTGCGCAGCCACCTGGATAAGGGATACAATGGTGGGAATGCTAGGTCAGGAAAAATCTCATGTCTATGACTCTCCACGCTTTAGGGCAGAATCAGAGCAAGGCCAGATTCCTAACCTCCAGGGCTGTGTCTTTCCGGGGACGGAGGCGGCCCTAGGCCTGGGTGTGTTCCTCACTTGCTTGGCTCACACCCGAGATGAGGTGAACTTTCCTTGGCAGGTAAATGCAGCATGCATTTCTGAAGAGATGCCTCAGTGGACCAGGCAGGTCTGGAGATCCCTGGGTGCAACTTTACCTCTTCCAAATGTGAACAGAAGGGCCTAGGCTGTTAGCCAAAGGGCTTGAGTCACTCATACAAGATTGCCACCTCCACATATCAGAACAGTGACCCTCAGGGGTCACTGATGAGGGACAGAGCTGATGTCTAGGGTATTGCTTGACATAGGTCCCTATCTCCCCAAAGGTACTCAACCCTGGAGCAAAAGCTCCTCCGACTCTCCTAGAAGTATATTGTATGTTGTCTAACTTGGGAGCATGTCGGGAGGAGACATGGGGGGAGGGGAGCAGGGACCTGGTGGAACCCTGTATTGGCTACAGAAGTGTGATGATTGCTTGCTAATGACTGACAAATCAAACCAGTGTAGGACCTGGCCTGCAGGCCCCCGGCTCAGAGCTCTCGAAACACCTCCGGTCCTATCCACATGGCCCAGGCACCCAGGTCAGCACTCCCCCAGCTCTGCTCAGAGAAGGAGCGCCCAGCCTGCACCCAGGAACGCAGGAAGCCTCAAAGCAACCTTTGGGACCAGGAGGGAGTCTGCTGATCTCAGGAGGGGGGATCACCAGGCTGCAGGGAGAGGTGCTCTGGCTCCACAATCATTCCCAACTGCCCTCAGGCCCGATCCGCTTCCCTGGCTGACTAGACTGGGTAACCTCGGCTGTCTCTGGGGTGACCACAGCAAATTGGCCTCTTGAATACACTGTAAAACTGCATACTGAGGTCCCAGATTCAGGCTACAAGGGCAGGAGGTGGGCAGTTCTCATCAGGGTGTGTGAAGGCCTGCAGCCTTACACCACGGACAACCCCTAGAGGCCACTTGGACACCTGAGGGGGCTTTCCAGATCCTTCTATAAGTTCCCAGAGTTCACAATTTCACAGCACAGAGCCTGGGTCATGGCAGGATGATCCAGCACCTGAACTGAAGCTTTCTACAAAGCAAGGGAGAAGGAACACTGAGGTGGACTATGCCACTGAGGGGTGAGCTCCGTCGGACCTAGGTCTTCAGAGCACCCAGGGCCGCATCCACACGGACGTGGGCTCCTGTGGTCTGCACATTGCCACGGACGGCTTCCTGCAGGGCCCATCTCAGTGAGTTCAAGGAACAGCTGAGTAACATCACCAAAAAATATCCCAGAGCCCATCTGTGGGAAAAGCCGTCTGTGGAGGGAGTACCGTGGCTTCCAGAAGGAGTTTACAGTGGGCCCTGCTTCCTGGATGGGGAGGGACTGAGGTGCTGCGGGCTCTCAGGATCTGTCAGCAGTCACCAACTCTACATAGCCCCCTCCCCAGACTCCAGAAGGTTCCCTCAACCTCAGGTGGCGTACAGAAATTTGCCCTCAGGTCCAGAGACGCCTGGTGGGCACCTCAAAGCCAGGCAACCTTGGTAACAGCATAGTATGCGGTATGAATGTTGCTCTTGGGCTGACCAGTCTTACTGCCCCGCCCCGACCGCCGCCCCCAAAGGCCATCTGATCGGGGACAGGTTCTCTGGAACTTAGCCCCAGACAGTGAGACAAGTCTTGGAGCTCCCAGCCACCGCCTGTCCCTGCTCCAACCTGTGGTGTCCACGCCTGTCACAGGTCTAGCATCTGCTCAGTTTTCCCACTAGAAAGGAAAGGGGCCACGTACCGTGGTGGTCTTTATCCGCCCTCCGGGCTGTGTGCACGTCCAGCCTGACCGGTTGATTAACAAGTCGCAGCCTTCCCCCTCGAGGCAGGGGAGCATGTCACACCACTGCTTGGTCTTGATAATTCGTGCTGTGGGAGAGAGCAGAGACCTGGTCAGTGCCCTGCTCTGGTTGCACCTTATCGGGTGCCTGCATCCTAAAGCTGGACCTGGTGTCTGGATGGCACCACACCATCCAGGGATGACCACCAGGGAGGTTGGCTTGCACACTGCCTCTCCTAGGTGAGCCAGCATTGATCATCAACAGCAAGTAGTCACTGATTGTGCTGGAACATTTTCACAACAGCACCACGAGGTGACAGCCTCACTCTATGATTTATCATTGATGGACAGGGTACTCTGAGGTGGCCATCCATAGGACAGCCTGGGAGGAGCCAGGACTCAGTGTCAGGATGAGGCATGGCAGGAAGTGATGGAGTCTATGCAGAGCGCTGTCCTGCTGCCTTTCACATGCAGACACTAGGTTGATCAAGACTCTAGGACTGCAGAGACTGAGTCCTTGTCTAGAGCCCTGCAGGCCACAGGGTAGGAGCTGGTAGAGAGCTGACCACAGCGTCCACCAGGACAAGGACATCAAAGCTCAAAGCTCAAATGGACTTCTTCCATGCAGAAGAGAATCACCCTTTCCCTGCCTTGGCTGGGCCTGTGATGTGGCCATAAGACTTTCTTCAGGCATTGTAGACAGGTCTGCTCTGTGAGAGGCCTCGAAGGAGGATGTTCATAATGGACTAGGCAGTCTAATTACCAGAACATTCCACAAGCTGCTGACCCTGCTAACCTTCCTGGGCAATTCTCACCACTACAGCTACACTCCAAAGACCCATAAACAAGGCTTATGGTCTAGGTGGACACAAACAACTTCAGGATGGTCATCCTCAATGTGACTGGACTTAGGATCACCTGGGAAATGTGAAGCACTCCCATGGGTTTCTGTGAGAGTTTCCAGAGAGGATTAGGCACGGGGATAAGACCAGCCCTGAATGACAGCAACATCAACCACAGGCTGGGGACCTGGGCAGAGGAAGAGAGGGAAAAGGGGAGTCAGCCCAGGCCCAGTGGGCATGAAGAGATCAGCTCTCCCTTGCCATGGTGCTTCTGCTCTATGTACAGAAGGGTCAAGCGGCCACGGGCTAAGCCCCTCCATGCACGGAAAGGTCAAGCAGCCACGGGCTAAGCCCCTCCGTGCACGGAAGGGTCAAGCGGCCATGGGCTAAGCCCCTCCGTGCACGGAAGGGTCAAGCGGCCACGGGCTAAGCCCCGCCGAATCAACTCTTCCGCCTTTAAGTTGTTTCTGTTAGGTTTTCCCTCACAGCAAGGAGAAATAAAGGCCACAGAGGCCGACCTCCCACAGGCATCACTGTGGTTCAGAGTTCTTTTACCCCCATGTCATAGAGTGCAGAAAACATAGAAAAAAAAAAAAAACCTTTTGGGGTTCGGTGTCACAAGGGATCGGAGAAGTATGGTTATGCCTCTGTCACATTGTCTTGTGTCTGGGAGTTCAGTGGTGGCCCCCAGGTCTGATGCACCCCCCCCCCGCCCAAGCAGGGAGGACCTGCTGTCCCTGCTGCTCATCTACTCTACCTTACTGTCTCCAGCACAGGTTTGAAGCTCATCTTTCGGCACCAGGGACTTCTTTTGTATGAACGACTACCACATTGGGGCTGGAGAGGTGACTCGGCAGTTAAGAGCACTGGCTGCTCTCGCAGGGGACCCAGATTCAGTTCACAGCACCCACATGATGGCTAACAACTGTCCCTAACTTCATTTCTAGGGGATCTAATGCCCTCTTCTGACCTCCGTGGGCACTGCATGACACAGGTGCACATACATACACGTAGGCAGCACACTCACACACAAAAAAACTAATAAATAAAACATTCTGCAGAAATATCCACATTGTTTCCTCACTTGGGCCTGTCCTTTCTGCAGCAGCACCACGCTCAGGCTCCATGCCCCTGCTGGTGCAAAGCTGGCGGCTGGGCTGGAGCATTGGCCAGTCCTGAAAGTCACAAGACTTACAGAGACGTTCCAAGCCCAGGCAAGAGAGGACCTCAGCACCCACCTAGTCCAGGTCTGTCCCTGGTCACTCCCCAAACTTCCCAACACCAAGACTCTCTCCCTCTCCAGGGCTTGCTTTTCCATTTCACTGTTGAGAAACATGAATGCACTGGACTCCAGATTTGCACAAACTAGAGGTGCAGTTCTGAAGGATCTGCGTTTACTAAAATTTCTCTGTGACTTCTCCCAGTAGGGAGCAACGATTAGTGTGTAACACACAAGAACTTGGGTGGGACATGCTCGGACACAGTTCTGCTGGGCAGTCAACAGGCTTCAGAGTCATGTCATAGAGCAGGTGCCCCTGGGCCCTCATGGGAAGGCGACAGCTGGCTGTGTTCCTGCATTCCCCAGCCCTTGACATCTTCATTTGTAAAAAGCAAGCCCAGAGAGCCTCTCTGCCATCTCAGGGTCTTTAAACCAGTGGCCAGTGAGGTGGGCTGTCCCACAGTAAAGATCCTACATTAGTCCTTTCCCGGTCCCTGCCAGAGACACTATAAATTCATGAGCTGAAGTCCTGACCCTTGTATTTGGAGATGGGACCATTAGGAAATAATTAAGTTCAAATGGGATCTCCAGGATGGGTTTCGATATGACAGGATTAGTGGCCTTACAAGAGACAGCAAAGATCTCTCCCCTCACCCGCTACCTGTGAGGACACAGCGTGAAGACGGCCATCTGCAATACAGGAGGGCTCTCACTGGAAACCATCCCTCCTGTAACTGTTGCCTTGCATGTCCAGCCCCCAGAGAAACAAATGGCAGCCATTATACTGCCTCTCTGAAGCATTTTGCAATGGACGCCCGAGCTGATGGAGAGGGGACTGTCCCTTGCCCAGCTGAAGTCAGTGTGAAAAAATATTCCATCTGAGGTTCACAGCTGAGTGCCTATGAGGGAGGGACGCACATCTGCTCCCTGGAGAGTCTAGGAGAGGAAACTACTGGCTTTCCAGGCAGCAGCTTTGAGAGCATCCACCTGCCTCAGGCTGTGGCTGTCCCCAGGCTGAGATCATCCCAAACCTCCAGGAATCGGGTCCACATCATCCTCCTGGGCTCCCATCATTCATGGCACAGGTGGCCAGTGGGCGAGGAGTGGGGCTGGTATCTCACATCTGTCCCTGGCTACTCATTATTTGTACAAAGTCACCAGAAGCTGCTTCTTTCAGTCCTGACGTGTCACTTTTGGTGACAGAAGAAGGTTCGGCAACAGTCGAACAAACACCCACAAACACCAGAACCCACAAATCGGCTGCAGCTGTAGAGTCCGTACCCCACAACCTGGTCCCCAAGTTCCAGCTTCAATGCCTTAGAAATTCCTCAACAAATGAATTACCTATATGTATGAATCTTGCGACCTGCCTATGTGCACATGTGTGTGCGTGTGAGCTCAAAGGGATGCAAGGGGTGGGGTCCCAGAGCTGCCCGTGAGAAATCTGAGTGCTCAAAATTGTTCCGACAGACAAGTCATTCAGAGAGCTTTGCAGGATGGTGTGCCACGGGCTCCCATCCAGACAGCCTCTGCCTGCCTGACAAGTCAGGAGCAGGACTGAGTTGGCACAGGAGAGGGAGCCTTCAGCTGCTAGAGGGGCACAAAGACCTGTGCTCAGCACATACTCCCCCAGAGGAGACCCAGTGTGGGCTACCTATGGTGCTATGGGTGCGGTTTTATAAGCTAATAGTGGTCAGCAGGCTAAAGGTAGATTGGCCTGAGTTCAGATCCCACACTGTACTGTATCGCCTGGGGCTTTTGAGCCAAGGGTGGCTCTCTGTAGTGGGGACTTGCTGTGAAGTCAGAAGACAACAGACTCCACACAAGGAATACCCACACATATTCCCCTTGGTCCTTGGGACACTTCTGGGTAGTTCAAGCTGTAGGTGGATGTGAAGACAGAGACTGGGAACGTGTACATCATCAGAGGAGTGAGGAGCTGATTCATACCTACTTTTCTCCTGGAATCTCATCCCTCTGAAGGCTTACCCCAGCTCCTTCCAGAAGCCCTCCAGGCCCTCTGCTAGGGGAGCCTCCCTGAACCACCTGGACCCAGGCCACCCTCCCTGCAATGCACAAGGGGCTCCTGAGGCCCCTCCATGTCCACACTCCTCACACATCATACTCTGGTATGAGCTTGGGGGAGAGACCAAGCATGCAGCCTGCTGTCACTGGGGACAGTCCCACATGTGATATGATGACATACATTGAGGTGCACAGGGCCAGGAAGGAAGGGGGAGGAACGATGATGGGGTTCTGATGGCCTTAGGCCACGGGAAGGACAAGACTCCTGTTCATGTATATACGTGTGCGCAGACAGGGGTATGCACATATAATACATGAGCAAACACAGACACACAGCACACACCCAACATGTGCAAGCTCAGTAACACCTGCATAGACATGTGTAGCACAATTCAACCTATGTGAACACATATGCAAGCAGGGCACAAACACATGTGTAAACAGCACACCACAAGTGCATGCACCCATACATGTTCATATACTGCATAAATATGTACGCACCATCACGTGTACACATACGCCTATGCACACATAATACACATAAACATTCACAGGTGCACATATAATGTATATACAAAGACACACTGCACATACACAGGCTGGTTTTTGCCAACTTGATATAAGCTATGGTCACCTGGGTGGAGGGATTTTTCACTGGTGAACTGCGCAGAGAAGACTGGCTAGTGCCCATGTCTGAGGGGCATGTTCTTAATTACTGGTTGATGTAGGAGGGTACAACCCACTGTGGGCGGTGCCATCCCTGGGCAGGTGGACCTGGGCTGTATAAGAAAAGGTAGCTGAGCAGCCAGGGGAAGCGAGCCAGTGAGCAGCGTTCCTCCGTGGTCTCTGCTTCAGCTCCTGCTCCAGGTCCCTGCCCTGAGTTCCCTTGATGACAAACTGACCTGTCAGCCAAATAAACCCTTTTCTCCTCCAAGTTGCTTTTGGTCAGTGTTATATCACAGCAAGAGAAAGCAAATTGTAACATTCAGACACACGTATGTAT